ACGCTTATGGCGACTGCAGCCTCTATCTGCTGCTTGGGCAATCCTTCTGCCTCAGTCTTCCAAGTAGCTGGAACTACAGGTGCATGCCACTACACCTGGAAAATTTTTTGATTTATTGTAGAGACAAGGTCTCGCCAAGTTACCCAGGCTGGTCTTGAACCCCTGGGCTCAGACCATCCTCTCACCTCTGCCTCCCAAAGTGCTGGGATTATAGGTCTGAGCCCCTGCGCCTGGCTTCAATATGGGTACATTATACTGCAACAAAAAATCAGAAATTACAGCTGGGCTTGGTGGCTCAGCCTGTAATCCCAGGCTTTGGGAGGCTGAAGTGAGTGGATTGTCTGAGTCCATGGGTTCGAGACCCGCCTGGGCAACTTGGCGAGACCTCATCTCTACAATAAATCAAAAAAAATTAGCCAGGTGTGGTAGTGCGCGCCTGTAGTTCCAGCTACTTGGAAGGCTGAGGTGGAAGGATCACCAGAGCCCAGCAGGTCGAGGCCGCGGTGGCTGGGAGCGGCCACTGCACTTCAGTCTGGGTGATAGAGTAAGACTCCAAGTCAAAAAAAAAAAAAAAAATTAACATGTATATTGCAAAAAGATCTAAACATATATAATGCGAAAATGAAAAATTTCTCTAGACCCACCATTTCCCAGAAATAATACCACTTCATAGTTCGATATACATTTTTTCAGGTTTTTGTGTCAATAAACAAATGTATGTAGTACTTATTAATTATAAAATGAGATTGTTTGCTACACACCGTCTTGCCTTTATTGCTAAAAAGTATATTTTGTAAATCTTTCCACAGCAGCAAATAGATCTACCTCATTTTTTCTTTTAAATCAGCTTTCATAAAATTCTACTGTGCGGACATACCACAGCTTATTTAACCATTGTATTATGAACAATACCGTAACAAGCATCCTTGAGTGTGTGTATGTGTGTATATATATATGTGTGTGTGTATATGTGTGTGTGTGCGCATATATATACAGAGGGTGCCAAAAAATTATACACATTCTAAGAAAGTTAAAATATATACCAATAACAAAAGATGAATACAAATTATGTTTAACTTCTGTAACTACAAGAGGTGCTCAAAGCAGTTAGCATCGTGTCCAGACCCTTCTGTAAAGCACTTCAAAAAGTAATAGATAATACATCTCTTTAAATGTGTATACATTTTTTGCCCCTCCAGTATATATACATACATACACATGTAGATAAATATATCTTTGTGCACATATGTGAATGTTTGTATAAAACAAATTCCTCAAAGCAGAATTTCTGGGTCAAAGAATATGAATATTTGAAGTTTTAAAGATATTGCCAGCCGGGCTCGGTGGCTCAGCCTGTAATCCCGCACCTTTGGGAGGCTGAGGTGAGAGAACTGCCTGAGCCCATGGGTTCAGAGAACAGCCCGGGCAACTTGGTGAGACCTTGTCTCTACAATAAATAAAAAAATTAGCTGGGTGTGGTGGCGCATGACTGTAATTCCAGCTACTTGGAAGGCTGAGGTGGAAGGATCACCTGAGGTGGAAGGATCACCTGAGGTGGAAGGATTGCCTGAGCCCAACAGGTTGAGGCTGTGGTGGCCATCAGTATGCATGCTATTGACTCCAGCACGGGTGACAGAGTGAGACTCCAACTCAGAAAAAAAAAAAGAAGAAAAGAAGGAAAAAAAAAAAAAAGGCCTGTAACATTTGGTTAATTAATAATTACAAGCATGTTCTTTCCCGTCATAAGCATTCATAGCATCAGACCACAAAGCAAATCAAACCACTCAACTATTTTCAAATGTGATAAACCTTGGCCCATATACTGGTGTCAAAAGGAGATGTTCACAGTTACTCTATTAGCAAAGACTCTTATTGATAAGAACAGGGAGCACTCCCAGCTGAATTTGACTCATTCAGCAGCATACAATTCATCTTGATCTTTGATAAAGAAATCACTTCTGAAGTTCAGTCCCCAGACACGGCTGACTTTGGACATCTCTGCCAGAAGCACGTGGAAGATGGGTTTCATTTTCCAGCACAAATGTCAGCGCTGAATAAGGTGATACAAATACTCCTTTAAAGTCCTAGTTTGTTTTATTTTTACTGTTTTGTTTGAGGTGGCTAATTTCTCAAGAGATTAACATCAAAGGAGTTGTCAGAATGACTTACAATAAGATCACTTTCCATCTGAGGCACTAATTGTTTCTACACTTGGGAACATACTATGAATGTGTAGAAGGCACACCATGCCTTGATGAGCAGGAGAAAGAACTGCACTAAGTATGTAGCATCTCTGAAATGTAAGGTCCCTCTTGGCTAAGCACAAAGAACAGAATCAGGTCAGTCAACCTAAACTCTGGATAAATATAAGCTCTTTAACACTGTGTCTGAAACATGAAATACTAAGTCTCTTTAGATTTGATTATGACTGGTTGAGATGCTGTAGGTGCTAATAAGCTTCTGCCAAAGACAAGGATCTTCCAGCTACACTCACTAACATTACTATGAAATCCTTCCTGTGTGCCTATCACTATATTCTGAATTTTTGCTACTTTTACTAAATATACCCTACATTCTTAAGCTATTTTTACACATAACACGTAAATGTAGCTCTTTCCATGGCTGCAGTGGCAAAGAACGCCTGTCAACTTCGGCAACTTATTTGTTCCACTTCTGCTACTGGTGTTGGTTTCTTCTTATTCAGAGAAGTCAAAATTCTCAGACACTGTCAGTGTCTCCAATGTGCTGAGCTTTCTTTTGCTATCTAGGTGAATAATTCTAAGGTAGTGAAAAGTGTGATTTTCTCCTGAAGTCTATGGCTTGCACGCCACCTCCAGGTCCCCTCATCACAACACTGCAGTGCTCTTACAGCTTTCAATATCCTCAGAGTTTTTTGTTTTTTTTTTAAATCATCTTTTCTTCCCTACTTCACCTCCTTTCTGGCCTACTTCTTGCGACTACACTGGAAAAAAAGGGGGAAAGTTCCAGTGAGATAAATATCTAAACTTCAACGGTCATACCCTCTTCAGCACTCCTGCTCCTAACCAGAGTCTCCAAAGTCTGCTGACTAGTATTGAATTCACAGACAATACTTTCTGATGTTGGGGTCATCTTGGTGCAAAAGAGCAGGGACTAGAGATCACAGCTGGGTTTCAAATGGTGAAGTTCAAACTTTACAGTACTAAATGAGTTCACTAAAGTCTTTTTCTATACATGACTGGCTTGGACATAGGACACAGAAAATCTTATTTTTGGTTTCTTACTAATCCCTTCATTAGGTACTGTAAACACGTAAACACACACACACACACACACACACACACACACACACACACACACACACACACAGGAAAAAACACAAACACTTCCAGAAGGCCAGGAATGAAAGCTATGAGGCTAAAACCCTCTGGACAGGTTAGAACATGCTGCAGCTGAACTGGGCTCCAGCCTCGCAAGGTGACAGTAGGTGCCTGGGAGATTGGGCTTAGGTGCTTGGCAACAAACAGGAACTTCTGTGCTTTGCTCCTTCCAGCCTTACCTCCCTCTAATCCATTCCCCAACTAATAACCACTTTTATTCCTTCCTTTCTGCAGAATATCTATTTAGCTCTTCTAGGCGTTAGGCCCTGTGCCAAGCTCTGGGACATCGCAGTGGTAGAGTACGCAGTCTGCAGCTTCACAGAGCCACCAGAACAAATAGGAAGCTGGTGATGAGACTGCTTGGCTGAAAAACCCTTCAGTGACATTCAAGATCCCTCGGAATTTGGTCTCTGGTAATCCTTCTGGCCTCATAGCCCACCTCTCTTGGGCCCTTGCATTCCAAGTACTGGACACTATTTTCCCAGCTAACTCTTGTCTGTCTGCCATGATTCAGCGCAGATGGTTTACTTTTTGAGCAAGTCTCCTCTGAGCACTCAAGACCAGGATGGGAACAAGAGAAAATTCTGGTGTAGTGTGCAGCCTCTATTTTTGACTGACCACTTTTCATCCCATTCTCCCGTGTGCAAAAATATCTTCCTAGTAAGATCAGCTCACAAAATGGCTGACATGGCTCTGCAACCGTGTCCTTTCCTCATTTTCTCTAAAGCAGTTTCTGAAGAGGATGTGATATACACTGCTTACCAACTCAAGACAGGGTTAAGGCAAGAAAGTAAAATAACATTCTAGTTCGACTTCAGCTTAATCTTGCCACTTCTTTATAACAGGAAATGTGCCACAGAGAGTATTCTCAGCACAGTGAATAGTGAACAGGCGGGGGAAGGACATGCTGTGCCGCACATCCACTGGGGGACTAGAACTTGTTCCTCTGCTCCTCGGGGCAGCACCTGTGGTCCTGGTGGCAGGTGGGCAAGGCATGGCACGGGCAGGAGCAAGCTCCCACTGCCAGACAAGCACACCTTGCCTTTTCTCTTCCCATGGGCACTTTTGGGTTGAAAGAAATCAAGTTTAAGAGTTTCCTAATTCATTTATGTTACAGCTCCATCATTTAGAGACTAGCCATCAAAGATCTGGCCAATACAGAAGAACCTGCCTCTTCCAAGAGTCCACGGACCTCTCCCACATCGTCTATCCACACTGTGTTTGTCTGGCTTTCATTCCCTAAGGGTAGAAACAGTTTTATGTGTTCCATTCCCTAAGAAACAGTTTTATGTCGCTGTATCTACAGCAAATATTGAATACTGAACAGCTTGAGGCAGGTACTATTTCCCCATCTATAGTAAACGGCTAGAGAGCTTTAATATATATATATAATATACATACATAAATATGATGCAAAGACATCCAGGCTGCAAGATGATCATCTCGGCCTTAAATGTCAACGGGCTGATATACCTGACACACAGTAGGCACAAAATACATGACTGATGAATGAATCAATATGGACCTGTTGGTGTCTCAAGGGAAAAAACCAAAAGCCATATTTAGAGGTCCTCAGGATACACCGTTTATATTACGGTCAGTAAGAGCTATTCAGCTGGCCATTGTGCAGTTCCTGCTCACCTGATCGGTATCGCTCATCCCTGGCTCCCCCAGATCGAGTTCGGTGGTACTTGGAGGGAGCAGAAGTTTGAGTCGAAGATGGAGCAGGTGTCTGATTTCTAAGTTCCTTCTGCACCGTTGAATCAGTTTCTAAAAAAGGAAGTTTGGAAGACAGTTATCCAAAAACAGTGACAATTAACATTTTCTGACCACTTTAGCATGGGTATAACACTCTGAGGCAGGTACTATTACCTCGTCTATAATAAGGGGTTAGAGAGCTTTAATGTACATATATAAATATGATGAGAAGACATCTGGGCTAACAAATATCTTTGAGCCTTAACTGTCAATAGGCTGATAGGAGAGAAATAGCAAGAAAATATATGGAAAGTGAAAGGCCATTCCAGGGACTCCAAAGAGTGGATGTGATGGTGGAGTTGGGAAGGGTGTATATGACCCCCTAACACAAACAGTGATGCAAAGAATAGGTTGGGGAGCTTTAGCAACCATACCAGAAGTCACTCTGGATAAACAATTCAAGCAAAAATTGAGTGCTTTTATGCCAGTACAGCTTCAAGTCAGGTTTATTAGCTTCCTTTCAGTCACCACTGAGCCTGCCCTTTTCCAGCGCCTGACCTGGTCCCATACTCTCTCTGATCTCCCAACATTTACAGTCCTCCCAAGAATATGAGGATGGAGAAAATAAGCAGGTAAATAAGCAAAGAAAAACACTAAGTTCTGATATTTTACTGCCTTTGTCCCCAAATGATTAGCTCCTAAGTCATTTCCTTAAAAAATAAAACAAAAACGCCAGGCTCAGTGGCTCAGCCTGTAATCCCATGCCTTGGGAGGCTGAGGTGAGTGGACTGCCTGAGCCCGCGGGTTCAAGACCCACCTGGGCAAC